GCGAATCTCGTGGGGGCGAAAATCCTGTGACAACGGCACTAGAATGTTTTCGGGACCCCCTTCCTCCTCTCGTCTGCGACATTAACGGAGGTAGCTTCGCCGCACTGTACCGTCCACAGAAAATTATTTGGCCCCAATCTTAATTCAGAGGTATTGCGCGGGAAAGCAAGCAGCGAGAATAATTGGTACATATATACTGTCAGTATACTATATAAATATCAAGTATACTTTGTTGTTGAATACATTATGGCGCAACGTCAAAATTTTCCATTGAGGCACATTCGATACTTTCTCATTGCCTTAACCTTTTTATTATACCTATTATACAGTTCCACAACAGAGTTGTGCAAGTTTTTATGAATCCAGGGAAAGAGAAGATGGTGTGTATCTTATAGATCCTGATGGCTTCGGAACATTCAAAGTCTGGTGTAATATGCAAGATGGCGGAGGTTGGACATTGTTTCAAAGACGACAGGACGGAAGTGTAGATTTCTATCGTGGTTGGTCAAACTATAAAGTTGGTTTTGGTAACTTGACCGGCGAATTCTGGCTTGGGTTGGATAAAATACATCGTTTGACCACATCTTCTACTCAAAGTATTTTAAGAATTGACATGTGGGATTTTGCTGGCACACACGCCTTCGCCGAGTATAAGAATTTTTCTGTGGCTTCTGAGTCAGACAGTTACAAACTAAACATTGGTAATTTTTCAGGTAAATATATATAACAATTGACTTATAGCAAGGCAATAAAAGTTAGACAGAACATAACCATACTAAATTTATAAAAGTGTGTAGTACAGTATATATACATGCTTCTCTCGTAAAATATTGCTTGGTTTAAGTTGACAACAGTATACTATAAGCAACAATATTTTTTTAAAAAATGCGAAAAATGTAGCTTTATACATGGTTCTTTCCATCAAACGAACTCCCCATGGATTAAGATCACGCTATATTCATTCCTGATACCATGATACTTTTTATGTCAAATATATCAAAGATTCCATGAGTGCATGTTTCAACTTTATGCGTATAATTGAATTTTTTAAAAATATTGCTTTTATCACCCGACTAATAAAAAAAAATCCCACTTGACTCACGGATCGTCTGAAATGGGATTTTCAGAGCCTTCTCTAGAGATGACAATGAAAATCTCATTTCGGACGATTTAGAAACATCAGGTTTCCAATTACCCCTTCCTCTTTCCCCATACGTTTACCAATCTTCCTAAGCCCCCGATAACACGGGAGTGAAAAGTGAAGCCAAAAATTCCATCATCGGAATCTGATAAGCACACTCAAACTCCAAAAGTTTTGGGATTTTTCTGAATATTTTAAGGCAATGCTGGTGATTCATTCAGTAATCTCAACGGAATGATGTTCACGACCAACGACAGAGATAATGACGTAAATATTGACCACAACTGCGCAAGCAAACGCCAAGGTGCTTGGTGGTACAAAGCATGTGGCTACTCCAATCTGAATGGGCTGTATTTCGCAACGTCAAATATGACTGCGAAAGGATCTCGAATTTTCTGGTACCATTGGAAAAATGATTATAAAACCGTCATGAAGAATGTTGAGATGAAAATACGTCCATCTTAGAGACACATTCGTGCAAGGACACCATTTGCATAAAACGTGCATGTTTAGAATAATATTAATAGTTTAAATAATCTTCAACAGTGGACGTCGTGTAGGTAGGGAAGGATACGAACTGCGAACTTTTGTAGATGATACTACTACAGTATATCTGAAGATTAATAGATTAATAGATTAAGACACTAAACTCGATAATTGCTGGACGTAATTATTGTTGTTGTGTAGCAAGGAAGATGGTTTCTGCATGCATGTATTTGTAGTTCTGATATTATTTTGAAACTGCAGAATACAATGAAAACTTTGTTTTCTGTATTGATCGCAGCCATTAATTGATCGTATCGAATCAACGCGCATTGGTAGCGAGTCTTATGCATGCCAATTGATCGCAGTGCACGAAATATTTTCGTGAGGACTTGACGCATGTCAGAATAATATGAAACAAAAAGCTGTCATATATCCGTGGAAACACCACGGAAAACGTATGCCTATGCGTCAACCATACTGAATTTTGCCTTGCGAACGTGGCGTCAAGCTAGTATTCCGAAGGTTGTCAAAAACTCAAAATGGAAGCGACAAGGAGCGACTTCGATGTTTTGCCTTTTCTCTGTAAATGCAAGCGGAATAATGAATGTGACAACCTAAAAACTAGTAATAATTACAATCTACATGAGTATATGTGCAAAAAGTAGTATTATGCAAGAAAATGAACAAAAGGTGACTGTCGATAAATTGATTGTATAAAATAAAGTTCTTTAACTAAACCATATATACAAAGATATTTTTCGTATGTTCATATGATCCAGATTTTTCTCAATAATTTTTTTGCGTAGCATGTCAGCATAACTTTTGCGTTGACTATAATATTTAAGGGTAATAATTTACTCTACAATGTAATCGTATGCAAATGCTTAACTCTTTAATAGTTTGCTTAACTTTCGTGTCTCAAGTTCGGTATTCGACAATATTTCAAGAAACTTTCACACGCCTCCCGATCTAAAGCGATAATTTTTAATTTAAATCTGTTTCTTTTTAGTTTTTAAATGTTAGAAATTTTTTTATTAAAGTCTAAAATACCCGTCTAGTGTTTTTGTTGTTTGTTTCACTTACCTTAAATGCTAAATAGCCATGTTTTTGTTTACAATAGGGCCATTTATACGAGCAAAAATAAGCCGCGGCCGAAGTAAGCTGAGGCTTAAATAAGTCGCGAACGACTCGTATAAACAGTCAATTTGCAATAAGCCGCGGCTAAAATAAGCCCAGGCTTGAAAGCTAGACTAAATAAGCCGCGGCTAATTGCGAATTGACTGTTTATACGAGTTGTACGTGACTTATTTAGGCCTAAGTCGCAGCTTATTTAGGCCGCGGCTTATTTTCGCTCGTATAAATGGCCCTAATTTTGCATTTAAAAGCTCCGACATTTTTTCTAGGGCATGCGCAGACGTTTTTCCGCGGTGTTCTCTGACGATGGTTTTGAAATAAAAGCCGTTCTCCAAAAGAAACCGTCATGAAAATATTTCGTCCACTAAAATTGGATAAAACTCTTTACCAATCCCCGTTGTCTGCATTGCTCAATTGCTGAGAGGCCTTGCCTATAGCGACCGTAGCTCAAAGGATGCGAGTTGGAACTCCTGCTGGAGACAGGAAATTCTTCATTGTACTCTGCAGCATCAGAGTCATATGAAACTAGTTTTTCATACCGCCGACTAAAGGCGGATTTCCAGTCCTCGCACCTGAAAAACTGACTGGTTCGGTTCAGGGCTTCTAAATTATTGTACCAGTTATGAGTTAGCTAACTACAAAATGAACCAAGTATGTCTTTGGGGAGGGAAAGTCACAAAAGTGCGCTGAATCGAGCTAGCTGAGCGTCATTGGTACGGTATTTACTGGGCATGGCTACACTATATAAACCACAGAATGTTAGCAAGTGTGTAAACAGACAACAAAATTCTACATGACCTACAAGATGGCTTGGTAATTACTTTGCGAAGTATAGTGAACTACTCCGGTCACACAAAGGTATTCTCACATTTATTGTCGTGTTGCAGAAATGCATGTGACTATATATACTATTTCTATCTGTTTCTGATTGCAACTCAATTTTTCGTGCACCAATCAGATTTGTCATCACGTACAATAATAAATATCAGGAAAACTTGAATGTTTTGACAATTTGACGCCGGTATAGGTAATACGGCCGTCGATTAAACCCCGAATATAAGACACGTTTATGTACTATTTTAATAAAAACACGAGCAGGAATGCTTTATCATGCAGATATAAAACATAAGAGCGCAGCTCGAATGCATGTTTTATGTCTAATAAAGCACGGACTGCTAGTGTTTTGTATGGCTTCAAAAAAGACCAACCTGAATCAGTGGCGTAGGAAGGGGAGGGGGGGGGGTGTGTGGCACTGGGGGCACGTGCCCCCCCCCCAACTTTTCAAAAGCGCCCTTTTCCCGGAGCAAAGTGCCCTATACCTCCGTGAAAAATGCCGTTTAGATTGCATTCTTTTCTCAATGGCCTTTGATTTATGATTGGAGTTGTTTTTGTATTTGGTATTTCCTGAACAATTCTGTTATTTTCGGGTAAAATTTGATATGTCCGGAAAAAAGTTGTGACTTTTCGGGAAAAAATATGATATCTCGGGAAAATTTTTTTAATACGCCCGGAAAATTTTTGTTATTTTCTGGACAAAATGGTGATATGTCCGCAAAAAAATTTGGTATGTCCGGAAAATGTTTCTGAGATGACCTCCCCCCCTTGCCGAAATTTCCCGGAAAAAAAATTTAGGTGCCGTTTTCAATCGAAAGGTGCCCCTCGAAGCCTGGCCCCTCCAACTTTTAGGTGCCTCCTACGCCCCTGCACCTGATGACTTCATTGCGAAATAATTTAAAAAGTAAACGTTTTCTAAGCCGAGAAATCAAAGCTAAAGTTTAAGTAAATAAACATATTTTTTTTATCATATATAAAACCACCGAGACCGTAGTGATTCTCCTTTCCTTGAATTGTTAATGTCATTTAATATATTTGTGAGGTCTGAATATATTTAACTTTTGGAAAGGTTCCAGGGACGTGCTGGGGTCTTGAAAAGGACGTCGAATGAGCAATGTCTGACGGGGCCCAGGTTCAGTGACGCATGGATCAAGATTGGGTTGGGGGGTATTACTGGTCGTTTGACAAGAAATATTTCAGTCGCTAATTCATCTTTTCCCCAAAAAATTATTGGAGGGGGGTGGGGGGGGGAGTAAAAAATTTCAGGACATACCATTTTTCAGTAACTTTCGAATTAATGTACCGTAATTTCGGTAATATTTTCGTAAATGTAGACTTTAAAAAAATAAATTGTAGTACGTATCCGGCTTCAATATTAAAATCTCTATTTTTTCATATTTTAATTCAAGTGTTTTAATTTTAATTATGGCCCATGCATAATGGCAGGGGCCCACAACAAGTTCTGGTCGGCTCGTCACTAGCAGCACGTCCGGGCCGCCCGGCTGAAAAAGGTTCTGATCTCGTAACCGACTATAAATCACAATAAAATACGTGTTTTCTTTCTGTTTTCTACCAAACAATGCACAAAAGCACCATTGCGTAATAATTCATTTGACCATATATGTTAGATTTACCTAATTTTTATTCCTAACATTTTTTATTTTACCTGATTTTTCCGCCTGTGCTGGTTGTGGGGCGTCACACCCCTCCCTCTGGTAGCTACGTCCCTGGGTGTCTGGATATGCGCATAATATTATGTGTCAATATGTTTGAAAATTCTTTTTATGCAACGAACTTTGAGTCGCGAAGGATTGTCGATTGCTCTTGTAATTTACCATCTGCAGATTTGTGTGTATGCATGTTCGTACAATATAGTCAGGTCCTCTTTTGACATATAGACTGTGGGAGGGGGGGCATGTCCCCCAGCCCTCTTACTGGCCCCTCCAGTCGCCAGAACTACCTGCAGTACTGTAGGTGGTCAACCAGCAATTATATATCAAAGTTGAAATTAAATTGACATTAATTTGTTAACATTTCTGAATTTGACCATCATCTTGCAGCCCGGAACTAACTATGAGTCAATTTGGGGACTGAAATTTAAACATCGTAACCATTTGGTAACCATGGCTGAAATAATTTGCTGGTGGAAAAAGGCATGAAATGGCATTTTAGGACGAAATTCTAGTTTAGTTTTCCCACCCTATCTTGCTCTTCAGTCACACTGAGAAGACGAATGGGTCGTTGTCAAGTATCCCAATACGTGTAATACAATACTGTAGAATTTGAAGTGTAGTGAATGATGATACTATACCGCGCACATCTTCATTACCGCATCATCATATCATGTTGCCTTATTCGGACTGGATTACATTTGGGAGACTGTAAAATTGCACTAATTGTGTCACTGTTTATTACGTTAATTAATTTCTTGTTGGAACACTCCTAGAAATGCTGGATTCAAGAAATCCAAAATTTTCTGGGTGGCGGGGACATGTCCCCCAGTGGTCGACTCGGTTGTCTCAGAATCCTAGTTATATACAGGCCTGATCTGTTGGCTTATTACGTATACTTATTAGTTAAACCATGCATGTAATTATATGGTCGCTGCAGTGGTGCAGACTTGCTGACTGGAACTTCTCCAGTTCCCCCGCTAAATATATCCTCCCAGTTACATATAGTTGTGTTTGTAAGGTGTCAGGTATGTATAAGACGTGCCCCAAGAGAAACTGTATGCCCTAGGGGTATTAATTCCTGATATATCCCTGCCAGTAGGGTAGCGACCAGCTCCGACATAGACCAGAACTACTGTATGGGGTGATAATCATTTTGGACAGTACCAACGACTAGTCTATTATATTTATAACATTAAATGGGAACACTTTAGCCTGAACCGAAACTATATTTTCAACATAACCCGACGTATTTACATAACGATAATGTTCAAACGTTTATTGTTATGTTAAGAAATATATATTTTATTTCTTTAAATTTTTCTACGCGAAGTAGTGAATCGTTTACAATCAAGCTCTAATAACTATCAGTTCTTAATATTATGTTCGTCTTCTCGTAGTAGTTTTTCAAGAGTTCACTTCAGCCTTCAACTGGCTTTCACTGCTCGTGATCTCTTCGTTAGTTTCTTCGTTTTGTCTTGTTTCGTTTGAGCTTTCTAAAACTTTTCATACATAATTTTTACTTCGTTGAGTCCACTGAGAAATCATCCACTGAGAATTTCGGTTGTGCACAC